ATTATCCCATAAATTTTGTAAGCTGTGAAAACGTTTTAAGCGAATACCATAACCGCTAAATGTGGAATAACAATAATACAAATCGCGACTACAGCGGCAGAGTTGAGACACGATTGATTTAGGCAACAACTTCTCTGTGTTTTGCATGCAAGGATACTCACGCGGGTATAAAATTGCATTTGAGAGTCTGCAGAAGAACAGATCGACTTATGGACATACTTGAGTTGGATGAATATAATTTAAATTTACTGCATCACAAAATATTCTAATAGTTTGGGAACACTGTAGCATCGCTTGAATATAATCTTTCAATGGCAAACCATTGAGTTTTAATTGCCTAAATCATTAAGTGTTTGTATAACAAGCAGGTAGCGGGGATGGTCAGTCGTAGCATAAGACAGCTATCTCGCACTAAAAGCATTTGTCAGAAACAAACTGAAAACAAGAATTACTTTAATCTTCTTAATGCTCGTGAACTAACGAAGGAAGTGGGTATACAATGCGCTGTAGTAGCGAGTCTTCTTGGAAGGGTTGGGCAGATGCCCTCCCAATTTTGACAGCAATGATTTTGGCTCAAAACCATACTCCCACCAATTGTAGTACATGCATAATCTTCATCAAAGTTAATCGCCACGTTTGAATTATGCCTGTATTAAACCATGTCCAGTACATTGGATTATATTAAGAAGGGTTTATAATAATAATGGTATTTTAATAACACATCATCGCATGAAAATGAATTACAATGTGTTTTACAATTGATTTGAATGGGAATTACAATACTAAAAGAAACTATATTACAATATATCATTAGATTATTAAATAAGAACTTATAACTAAGAACAATTATTTGTTTAAAACACTAATCATGCTAGGGAAAAAACTATTACCAAATCTATCAGTTCTACATTTAAAAGAAGCGAATTGTTTAAAATTCCTTAAATTATACACATGTTCGTTCTCGCTGGTGAGAGTTAGATGGGAAGAAAGACGACTACCCAATGCAATATTTTTCATCGTCTTTTCGCAAAGTTCACCTCGACGTATATCCAGCCTAGGACACTGCAACATTTCTTGCGCTTCACCGTAGGATCGACCTGGCAGTATAATCCTCAGTGCTCGTTTTTGAATTTTCTCGACTTGTTCAGACAGATACATAGGTAGACCACAATGCCATACTGTACAACAATATTCTAATGTAGATCTAATCAATGCATAATAAATTGTGATAAGGTCGTGCGGTGGAATCCCTCCCCGTCGTAGGACACGTAGGATATGCAGTCCTTTGGATGCTTTGGTAACAATCATCGAAATATGTTCGTTCCACTTAAGGTCATCCTGGATAATCAATCCAAGAACCTTGTGCGACGATACACATTCAAAGATCTGGTCTTCAACACACAAGTGTGGTAGTTCAGGTTTGTTCCGAAAGAAACAAATTTGCATCTCTTTGCATTTCTTTGCGTTCAAGTTCATCAGGTTATTAGATGCCCATGTAGCTATAGAAGTTAAATCGGACTGGATTACAGACGGTTCCCCATTCCTTAATAATCCCTCAGAGATAGTAACATCATCAACGAATTTCCAATTGCCAGACCTCCCCGAACCGCATTGTAAATCATTGACCATAATTAAGAACAGGATCGGACCCAACTTCGCACTTGGGGGAGACCGGCTGTAACAGGAAGCCAACAAGAAACAGCTTCCGCAAGTTTGACCCGCTGTCTTCGCCCTGATAGAAAGTTTACGATCCATGGTATTAACGATCGCCTAACGCCAATATCAACAAGTTTTTGGATAAGAATGTTATGGCCAATACGATCGAAGGCCTTTGAAAAATTCAAAAAGCATATGCGAAGAAAATGACCAGTTGAATCTAAATAAGAAAGCCAACAATGCAACATGTCGAGCAAGCAATAGGTCGTGGATGAACCCTTTAAAGAACCGAACTGTTGTGCGTCAATATTATTCCTAACGTCAGAGATCATCCATCTAACGACAAAATCTTCGAGAACTTTAGAAAGGCATGGCGTTAGTGAAGTGGGTCTTGTGTCACCCTCGTCAGTTGGTTGTTTAACTTTTGGAATGGGAGTAATATGTGAGTCTTTCCATATATTTGGAACAATCCCGGATGCAAGTGACATATTGAAGATTTTCGCAACTGGTTCAGCGAAAAGGTGCGCAAATTCCTTCAAAAGGCGACCTGGAATATTATCAGGACCACATGTTTTGGAGGCATTAACGACCAATAATTTCTCACAGACTTCGTGCTGTTCGATGTAAGGCACTTGATCAACAGCAGGTAAGTATGCTGGTAACGTGGTTATATCTAGTGGTGGAATGTCTGCGTTAACCGAGATGTAAAACTTGTTCAAGTTATTGGCCAGCTCTAAATCTGATAATAATTCACCTTCCTTTTCAAAGGTAAGTTTAGTACACTTCTGAGATCGGCCAGACAACTTATTTACGACTTGCCACCACTTTCGGCAATCGTCTTTCTTAAGATGTTGTACTTTAGTTTTGTAATATTCTTTCTTTCTTACGGCTATTTCGGTCTGGACCTTATATTTCAATGTTCTCCACTGCAGAACATCTCCACCATGGAAAGCTCTTTGACGGTCATTAATACGTTTTTTGATAGACACAGACATCCATGGTTTATCGGAATGGCAAAACCTAACAGATTTCAGGGGAATAAGACTGTCAAATGCTGTAGATACTTGGGATGAGAAGGAATTAGCTAGGTCATCTACGGAAGGGCTTGGACCCAGATTACTGAACCATTGATGCGTGCTAGCCCATCGGCCGAAAGAATTCAAGGTGGATAGCGGATAGCGGCGTATAAGACGCTTAATCGGTTTAGGTTTGGTAATAGCATCAACTTTATTAGGAACCCATCGTACTATATTATGGTCAGCAGACCCAAGCGGAGCAAGAATATGCGGCTTGTCATAAAAATCTTGTAAATCGGTGACGATGAGATCAAGGATAGATGTCCCCCTTGTAGGAGCAGAAACGACTTGCTTCAAACTAAGACTACGGGTTAGGTTCGAAACATCAAAATTATTAAAATCACCAAGGAATACGATTCTACAATTAGGATAACAATTCCTAATGGAATCCGTTGTGTTCATCAGATATTCATCAAGATCACGTAGTTCTTCAGCAGTTCTGCCAGGGGGGTTATACACAACGCAAACTGCAATAGCCGAGAGAGGTCTTGGCAGTCGTGTCGGGCGGATCCATAACCAAAGACATTCAAAATTCGGATTTTCAAAATCCAGTCTCCGTTGACAGGGAATGTTTTTCAAAGAATAAACGCACACACCACCGCCCCGGCTACCTGTACGATCGTTACGGTGGATATTATAGCCACTGATTGATATCAAGCTATCATCAACATCCTTGTGTAGCCACGATTCTGTTATAGCCACTAGATCCATTGGGTTACCATCCAGAAGTACAGCAAGTTCGTCGATCTTAGGCAATAACGAGCGGGCATTTATTAGGCCAAAGCTCGGAAGTGCATGAGGTTTAGAACGACTAGTAGTTTATACAGATTATTTGTAATTTTGATTTTTTGTTGGTATAGTGTACTTAGGTGAAATGATGCTTGTGATGTTACTCTGAGTGTATATCCACAACGGGCAAGCTTGAAAAATATGCCTGGCCACGGTGGGAATCGAACTTACGACCTTTGAGCACAATGCTCTGCCAACTGATCAACGCGGTCAGGTCGGTTCGAGTATGTGATATTTCGGAACTGAATCTAGTTCCTTCGATATCAATGCAATCTAGTAATCATGATTTTTTTCTGTGTTGGTATAGTGTACTCAGGTGAAAATGATGCTTGTGATGTTACTCTGAGTGTGTATGATGTTATTCTGATGTTACTCGAACCGACCTGACTGCGTTGCTCAGTTGGCAGAGCATTGGGCTAGTATTCCTAAGGTCGTAGGTTCGATTCCCACCGTGGCCAGGCATATTTTTCAAGCTTGCCTGGTGTGGATATTCACTCAGAGTAATATCACAAGCATTATTTGTAATTTTATTGATAGCAGTATCTTACTATACTGTATGAATGAGTATACCTGTTATAAATATTGTTCATAATAAAATAATAATAATATACCGCCATCATCATATACAATATCACCATTATTCATTAAAACCACCAACACAACAACAATCACCATCATCACTATGCACCACGATCGTCATCACCTTTATTTTTAACTAGTAATTACCACCACTGCCATCATGATCATCATCATTACAATCGTCAATACCAATTTTGTTTTACAGCAGCAAATATTTTGAAGCTTACTTTTGGAAGAAGGTAACGATTAGTCCAAGCATGTATACTGCACTATATATGCCGATACGAAATAAAAAATTAACTGAATTTTACAACTTACCTGCTCCAGAACTTCTGGTGCTAACCAAGGCAACGATGCAACTGCATGTAGAGGAAAGTCGTAAGCAAATGTGTGATTATAACCATTTGGCGAGAGACAATGAGATTCGCGTAAGCCAGTTAAACGCGCGGTTCCATTTTCATCGATTAGAATGTGGCTACACTTTATGGCACTAAAAATATTACACGAACACAACAATTTTTAGCGGAACTTATCCATATTTTAAATATGCAGTATAACATATAAAGGTGATAAATAAACATAGTCGTGTGACCTCGTACCATACAGGTATAAAAACTGTGCTCCAAAAAATGTTTAAAACCTTCACATACAGCACATTATATCACACTTTCCCGTCAGAATCTGATTCCGACCGTTTAGTATTGCCTCTTCGGGGTTTTTAGGGAACAAGCCATATTTTGTAAAGCATGGGAACAAGGGAACATGCATGGTCAACGTTTTGGTAAAGACGGGAAATCTCACCTGGGAGACCTAAATAATGTATTATACACTATACTAAACGTCAACTAATAAAGTTTTTACTGTCTACATCAATTAGACAGGTTCAGGTTTGACTTCCACTACCGCTAACGCTACCTCTCACTGGCTCAGTAAGCATCTGATTGGTTAATCGGATATATCAAACGCATCTGATTGGCTAACGGTAGCTTAAAGGTAGCGGTAGTACAAGTCAAATCTGAATCGCTCAATTATAACAACGAAGACGATTCAGTGTTAGGATTCAACGCTTCAATGTTAAGATTTAATGATTCAATGTTAGGATTCAATAATTCAATGTTAGGACTCAATGACTCAATGTTTGGATTCAATGATTCAATGTTAGGATTCAATGATTCAATGTTTGGATTCAATGATTCAATGTTAGGATTCAATGATTCAATGCTAGGATTCAATGATTTAATGTTAGGATTCAATGATTCAATGTTAGGATTCAATGATTTAATGTTAGGATTCAATGATTCAATGCTAGGATTCAATGATTCAATGTTAGGATTCAATGATTCAATGTTAGGATTCAATGATTCAATGTTAGGATTCAATGATTCAATGTTAGGATTCAATGATTCAATGTTAGGATTCAATGATTCAATGTTAGGATTCAATGATTTAGTGTTAGGATTCAATTATTCAATATTAGGATTCAATGATTCAATGTTAGGATTCAATGATTTAATGTTAGGATTCAATGATGATTCAATGCTAGGATTCAATGATTTAATGTTAGGATTCAATGATTCAATGCTAGGATTCAATGATTCAATGTTAGGATTCAATGATTCAATGTTAGGATTCAATGATTCAATGTTAGGATTCAATGATTCAATGTTTGGATTCAATGATTCAATGTTAGGATTCAATGATTCAATGCTAGGATTCAATGATTTAATGTTAGGATTCAATGATTCAATGCTAGGATTCAATGATTCAATGTTAGGATTCAATGATTCAATGTTAGGATTCAATGATTCAATGTTTGGATTCAATGATTCAATGTTAGGATTCAATGATTCAATGTTAGGATTCAATGATTTAATGTTAGGATTCAATGATTCAATGCTAGGATTCAATGATTCAATGTTAGGATTCAATGATTCAATGTTAGGATTCAATGATTCAATGTTAGGATTCAATGATGATTCAATGTTAGGATTCAATGATGATTCAATGTTAGGATTCAATGATTCAATGTTGGGATTCAATGATTCAATGTTAGGATTCAATGATTCAATGTTAGGATTCAATGATTTAGTGTTAGGATTCAATTATTCAATATTAGGATTCAATGATTCGATGTTAGGATTCAATGATTCAATGTTAGGATTCAATGATTCAATGTTAGGATTCAATGATTTAATGTTAGGATTCAATGATTCAATGCTAGGATTCAATGATTCAATGTTAGCATTCAATGATTCAATGTTAGGATTCAATGATTCAATGTTAGGATTCGATGATTCAATGTTAGGATTCGATGATTCAATGTTAGGATTCAATGATTCAATGTTAGGATTCAATGATTCAATGTTAGGATTCAATGATTCAATGTTAGGATTCAATGATTCAATGTTAGGATTCAATGATGATTCAATATTAGGATTCAATGATTCAATGTTAGGATTCAATGATTCAATGTTAGGATTCAATGTTGTAGGATTCAATGATTCAATGTTAGGATTCAATGATGATTCAATGTTAGGATTCAATGATTCAATGTTAGGATTCAATGATTCAATGTTAGGATTCAATGATTCAATGTTAGGATTCAATGATTCAATGTTAGGATTCAATGATGATTCAATGTTAGGATTCAATGATTCAATGTTAGGATTCAATGATTTAGTGTTAGGATTCAAAAGTCAAAAGTCTTTTTATTAGATCAAAAGATAAAAATACATATCTTATGTTACAAGTTG